AGCAAGTTATAAGTAAGAGGTTCATAGTTTCACATATAATCCTATTTTTTCAACTTTACATATGGAAATGTTCTCTTTTTGGTACATGTTAAATTCAGAATAAAGTTTAAATTAGTTTTTTATAAAGATAACTAGTATGAAAGTCTGGTAACCTGCTTAACCATACAAAAGTTAAGTTGGCTATCTCTATTTGTCCAAAGCTAGGGCATACCTGGTGAGGGCAGATCCAAAACAGATAAGAGGAAATAAATAGCCCTTTAGATGCTAAGAATGTAAACCTAAATACATCAAACACATGCTAATCATGCAATCTCCTACTACCACCATCCCCGCCCTGTCCAAAAGAACCTTCATTAGACCTTACCATCCCCTTAAGTTCACATTCTATACATCTGCTCTTTCTTAGCCAAACTCCTCCTAGAAAAGTTGTCTGCATTAGTCACCTCCTCTTTCTCTCCTCTCACTCCTTCCTCAAACCTCTGTAATCTAGCTTTCAACTTCATAGCTCAAATGAAATTGATCAATTTGACAAATCTGATGGTCTCTTTTTTCTCCCTAGTTCTCTTCCTTCTCAAGTTATCTCTATTCTTGTTGGGTTTTTCATCTTTGGATGTTGTTTTCTCTTTAGGTAAAAGTAATAAAATACTTGAGCTGCATGGTTCCAAGGAAGTAACATCATATGAAATATGTTAGTAGGATTGGGGGGGGGGGGGGGGGGCAGGGAGGAGAAGAGAACAAGCATTCATCAACCCAGGCACTGTGCTAAATGCTTTATATAAATTATCTCTTCTGTTCCTCACAACATTACTGTTCTTCCCACTTTATAGTGAAGGAAACTGAGGCAGACAGAGGTAAGTGACTTGCAAAGGGCCACAGAGCTAGTAAGTGTCAAATGCCAGATTTGAACTGCAGTCTTCCTAGAAACTTGTTCCGGAGTCTCTAGCCTTTTATGACATCAAGCTCTCCTGGTTCTCCTACTGGTCTAACCATTACTCAGACTTTGCTGGTTCAACATTGAGGTGATACCACAACTAAGTCTCCCAACTCTCTGTTCTAGGCTGTCTACTTTTCTCTCAGTATACTATTTCTCTTAGTTATCTACAGATTTAAATACTATCTCCATGTTGATGATTCACAGACTTAAGCACATGAGCTCTGGAATCATCTAAAATCATAATGCTTAAAACTTAACTCATTTTCTCCCCCAACCCAAAAAAATCACTATTTCTAGAAAAAGTATGACCTTTCTTCTAGTGGCCCAGATTTGTAATCTTGGCATTATCTTAGACCCCCTCACTTCCCCTCACTCCATATATCTAATCAGTTGCCAAATCTTATAGTTTCTACATCCACTATATCTTTCACATCTGACCCTGTCTCTCCACTCACAAAAGTAACTTCTTAATTGGTGTCCCCCACTCAAGCCTTTCTGCACTTCAGTACATCTTCCATACTGCTGCACAAATCTGATGTCACTCAATAAACTCAAGCATTCAATAAACTCTAGAATCAAATATAAACTCGTGTATTCTATGTATTTATTTGTATTTCTTCCATGTATATGTAAACATTTCCTTGTCGTCTCTTCCATTAAAACATAAGCTCTTTCAAGTAGGAACTGTTTCACTCATGACATTTATAACTCCACTGCCTAGCGAAGTGCCTGGAGGAAAAAAAAAAAGACCCTTAATAAATACTTAATTGACTGATATCATCCTTAAAAAAGCAGGTTGACTGCAGCATGCATGCATATAAGCTCTGCTAGATCTAGTTACTCATATCAAATGGAGGCACCAATTGCCAACTTTCTGAATTACAAACTAGCACAACAGTTCCCAAGTCTTTTTTAGTTTATCATTTCTGCCCAGGCAGTCCATTAATTGCTATCTTGCCTAATTTTTAGTTTCTTCTTATCCTTCTCAACTAGGCAGAGAATAGTCTAGCTGTAGAAAAACTGAGAAGCACAGTGATTGAACCACAACTGAGTGAATTATAAGGATAGCAGAAGGATGGAGCTGTGCCAGAAGGACCCCAACCTTGAATCAAGGAGCGGTTTTGCAAAGTGTGATAGCTCTATACTCTTTCACCACTAGCTTTCAATATCATCCACAGAGCAATGGAGCCAAAACCACAAAACCAGAGCTAAATACATTTTATCAAATAATTTAGTTCTCAGTGCTTATGCTAATTTGCATGGGTTCTGAAAAGCTAGGATTTCCCAACTAATTGCCACATTACCTCTACTTCTGCAAAGGTATGATAAAACTAATATAAACTGGATTTTGATAAGATAAGAACTATCACCCTTGATGCTACAGGATTCACAATTTTTTTTTAATTGTAAGTACATAAAGCAAAATTTAAAATGTCTAAAACCACTCTTTTCTCTTACGCATGTCTCTTCCCCGAGAAGAGTAAGATTAATCTTGTATCATTTTCTCATTGATCGTATTCAGAAATAATTGATTTTGTCCTGTGACTGCTTTTGTGCTGTAACGTCAGAGCTCGACTGGCCTGTAATGGGTTGAGTTTGAAAATCTAGCTCTTCTTACCTCAAGGAATTTAACTGGGCTTGGACAATGCATGTGAACACAAGGGAGTTTAGGCTTGATATCTTACTCTACCAAGCTATGTTGCAAATATGTCTGGTAGAGTGTCCAAATGTCTAGCCCACTATCTCACACCTGGACTCAGACAATGAGTACATTTTAGTCTCATGAGCAGTCACTCATTGCTAGCCACCATTACCAAGCTTCTAACCAGTTATGTTGTTCCTTGCGCCTTGACTTTGTAACCAATCATGTTGCCCTCAATTCCATTATGTCATGTACCCTGCTCTGTTCTTGGTTCTGTAATTCCCAAAAACCTCTATAAGGGGAACTGTCCTTTTGCTTGGGGTCTTTGATACTAATGGAAGAAATCCATTGACTCATTTATTGACAGGCAGCATGCCCCTGTTAATAAATGTTACATTGCTCAAATAATGGTCTCAGTTTCCCCTTTTGTTAAATTCTAAATGCTACACTCCTCCAAAGCTGCTGTTCCTCTTGACTTGTCTATTTCTGTTAATAATCACTTTTATTCCAGCAACCTAAACTCATAAAGGTAAGAAATCTTCTTTGATTACACACTGGATTATATAGGAAACTAACATGTCAGGCTAAGGAGTTTTAAGCTAATTCTATGGGCATTAAAGTGTTATTGAGCATTTTTGAGTGTAAAAAATATCTATGGATTTTAGTGAAATATATGTTCAACACGAATCAGCAGTATTATGTGGCTTCCAAAGAGGCTAATGAAATCTGGCACTACATTAAAAGAGCTTTCAAAAGCAGGATGGTGATAATTGCCCTGTACTCTGCTCTCATCAGACCCATTTGGAGCAGTGTGTTCAGTTGTGGACATCATAGTTTAATATGGATATATGAATAAGAAATAGAAGCTTGGGGGAAAAGATAGGAAAAGTCAGTTTTGAAATTACTATGAAAAAACAGGCAAAAAGATCTCTCTTTTCCTCACTGATACTGAGATAGATAGAGGTATACATACATACACATACATACTTTTATTTATGGGATATGTTTATGTAGAACCATGAAGTGGTCCAATTATTGTAGATTTCAAGACAAGTAGCTTACATTTTCAATATCCTTTGACCAAAAAATGTTATTCTTTGGCATTATATATATACATACATATACATGTGTATATATAGAGAGAGAGAGAAATAAAGGAACAATTGAAAAAACTATGTTGTATAAATGTAATGGAATATTATTGTGCAGTAAGAAACTGCTGTAGTTGTTCAGTTGTTTTCAGTCATGCCTAACTCCGCGTGATCCTGGAGTAATTTGCCATTTCTTCTCCAGCTCATTTTACTACTGAAGAAACTGAAGCAAACAGGGATAAGTGACTTGCCCAGGTTCACACAACTAATAAGTATCTGAGGCCAGATTTGAACTCAGGAAGATGAGTCTACCTGACTCCAGCCCCGACACTCTACCCATTGTGCCATCTAGCTGTCCTTAAGAAATGACAAATAAAAAAAATAAAAATAAAAAAAAAAATGACAAATAGGAGGAATTCAGAGAAATATGGGAAGATTTGTAAAGACTGATGCAAAACTAGGTAAGTAGAATTAAACTTAAAATAATGACAATGAAACAGATCACTCAAAGGAAAATAAACTCTAAATATATCACTGAAAGGTAAAAGACTACTACAACAGAATATTATACACAGTGTCAGACAAGAACGCTCTTTTTGTCACCAGAGACAGTTCAATCTGGAGAAAGAGAGTGAAAGATGATGTCAAGGAATTCTGAGATGAAGAGAATGGGGGTGCAGAGAGAGTTCACTTGAATGCTCTCAATTTTTTTTTTCAGTGAAGTAAGAGGTAAGGTCCTCAGTTGAGAGAAGGGGAGAAAGAAATATGTAAAAATTAGAAAAGGCAAGAGGAGGTTTGGAATAGCTTCAGTAGGGAGTAAAACTGGGAAACAATTAGGAGAAAGTAAAAGGAGTAAGTTTCTGCAAGTAAGGGCCCAGTCGAGGTTTGATAACAGGAATTTATAATGTACCTAATAATGTATTTCATGTGAATCATTCTAAAAAATGTCACACTACTAGATTTAGAGATCATCACTGAAAATCACAAAATATCAGTGTTGGAAGAGATCTTGGGGACCACTTAATTAAACCTACAACTAAACAAGAGACTCTAGAAGTTGTTAATTGCTTGAAAATATCTAGTATGAAAGACTTATTACCTGAAGGCAGTCCACTAAACTTTCAGATAGCTTTTTAATTGCCAGGATTTTTTTCTTTAAATAATGTCTAAATTTGCCTCTTAGAGACTTCTGCTTATTATTACTAGTTTTGTATACCTATGCCTTTAGTCATTAACTAAAAATGTTAAATCAGCAGGTATAAAAATCAAGTTCATTGATTTGCAGATTTCTTTCTCCCTATCTCCCTATCCAGGAAAGTAGGGAACAGTTAACCTTCTGTTATGTACTTTGCTCTCATTTTCCAAATTCTTTCACAAGTCACTGACAGTAGCTCAGTAATTACAAATGTTAGTTCTTTTAGTACATTGCAATGTGGTTTGTCTGAACCTGGGTATCTGAAGTCTTCAAGGGCAATGAGGTTCTCTTAAGATAACCCTACTTATATCTTGGATTTCTTCCCCCTACCTATCTTGGGTGTTTCTACGCTCCTGTACCAAATTTTTGCTATGTCTCTCCTAGAACAAAGAAAATGTACCTTTGGTATAGAAAACTGGGGGGTGGGGGTGGGGGAGGAGGAGTTGAATAATTCTGCCATATAGAAGGCAGCTTCTAGAAATCTAGAAAAACTAAAAATCCTATTCTCCCTTTAAGCTTTTGCTTTTCCACAGAACTATTTGTGTGGGATCTGGCAATAGTAAAATGAATCATAATTACTCTCTGAGGATGACCCTTCAACCAACAGAAAAATAGTACGGTATAAACCAGAAACAGCTATTAATGGAAGTATTGTCACTAAGCAGAAACTGTAACTATTTTTGATATTTCAAAATTACTGTCTTGTATCTTTTTGTTTCTCTTGAGTTTCTCTATATTGGTCACCTTTCCTATATTCCTTTTATTTCTCTTCTCCTTTCCTATTTGTTTGGGAAAACACTGTTAACAAGCTTAAGTCAATATTCTCAGATCTAGCATATGCTCCCATAATCTGTTAAAGTCATACAGAACTAAAACAAAAGCTCATCAACATCAAGATCAATCACATCTACTGCTTCCTCCTAAACCTATAAGGAAACAACCCTGTTAAGAAGGAAAATGGTTTCATTCAGTAAGATTTATTGTCTTATCTCATTTATTTATCCAGGTCTGAAACTGTTATTTTTCATAATAGCGAACTGTGCAAAAAGTTTTTCTGATCTATGAAGATTCACATAAATTAAGGGTTATTGCTTTGAAAGGAAAAAAAACTTGTCATAAGAATCTTTTAAAATATTAAGTTTCAATTCTATGAAAATTTAAACATCATTTTCCTGGAACTCGTATGCTACTTGAAGGAAAGTTCATCAGCACTTTAGTCTGTTTTTATTACTTTTAAACTGAGAGTAAATGAAAACCAAGGTAAATTTTATTCTTTAGAAGCAGGCCTGACAAATCAGTTATACAGAAAAGGTGGCTTACATGATATGAAAGAAGTTTTAGAGTATACATTAACAGTTCGTTTTTTAAAAATACATTACAAACTTCTCTGCCCACACTGAACAGACTGTAGTAAATACAATATAATATTTTGTTGACTGTTCAGAGTCATCATATATAACCATTACTGTACTTCAATAAAATAGTTTCTCCAGTTATTGAGGTATCTGTAACAACAAGATAAGCGAAGGAACACGCATTATCTAAATAACTCACCTGATTTCTTTTAATCCCTCCCTCTGTATAACTTGAAGAATTTCTTTATGGCTCATGGGTGTATTGGGATATTTCTCCAGGACCTGGGGGGGGGAAACATGTAATAATAAATTATTTCTCAATTATATTTCTGTTCAATATAAACTGAAGAATTTTGTACCAACAAGTATGTTTGTTGGACTAAAAAGGAAAATCAAGGATGATAAATGATCTTTTAGTATCTTTCCTCATTCAATATCAAACACAACAAAATATGGTATAGAAGGCAAAAGTAGAAACCCAACTGTTCGTTTGAATTTAAAAACAAAAACAAAAATCAGTGAATTCCAAACTAAGAAAATGTAAGAGGAAAAAAAAAATTCCAGTGATCATGGTGCCTGGCACACAGCAAATGCCTACTGAATTGAAAATCAATATCCTATCCAATTATAACTTTTCTCTGGTTAGAAATTCAACCAAGCCTTAGCAAATATCATGTCTTCCAAACCTATTAAAAAGTCAAGAATCCTTTAAAACCATCAATGAAAGCAAATATAATTCAATAAACTGAATAATCTAGATTAATATGGATAATATATATCACAATATAAATCTGTCCTAGTGGACTTCCTCACCACTAAGATAAAATTTAAATATCAAAATAAATCAAAATTAGAAAAAGAAAATTAAGAAAGCACTCTCCAGAGCCCAGGTTCTTAACTCTGTGTGTGTGTGTGTGTGTGTGTGTGTGTGTGTGTGTGTGTGATGGACACCATCCTCCCCATCCCCAATCTTGTGAAGCCCACAGATCCCTTCTCAGACTGTTTTTAAATGCATAATAAATTATAGTGTTACAAAGAAAATCAATTATATTTAAATGTAGTTGTCCATGTTTTGATCCAAATCATTGATATAAAAAGGTTAACTCTTCTAGGACCAAGCACAAATTCTTGGATCACCCCAACTGGAGAGGGGCTTTCCAGGTTCAGTTTAATTTTGCTCAGCATACATTTATTAGGCACTGGAGATACAATAATGAAAAACAGCCTCTACCCTCAAGATGCTTACACTCTAGGGTGGGACAAAATATGCAAATAAATGAATCAACAAGAAATCATTTGACAAAGGAAAGAGCAATAAAAACTAGAACATCATTGAACTAATGAATGCTAAAGCAGACTGTAAAGGTACAAAAAATAGTCATCAATAATAGTCTGATATCAAAGATAACACTGAACTCTTCTTTGGAGCTGGCCATTCAAATCGTACTAGATCCACCAAGCTGTAGCATCACTTTGACCATGTGTCTCCATCTTTTCCATGATAACTGCATGACATATTTGTCACATGTTTGGCTAAAAAGAGAGGTAAATTACATCTACCATCCTATCAAAAACAGAAAATTACTCTAGCATGACTTGTTGATGATGAAATCAAATAGGCTCTTTGTCTTTTCTGGATTTTCACTAACCACCCTTTGAGTACTCTCTGCAGGCTCTTTCCCATTCTCCACAATGATGAGATTTCCTGAATCAGAGACATTATTATTTTGTCTTCTTGCCCACTGCCCAAGACAAGTATCAATTTCCAATTCTACTAGCAAAATATGAGCACTTCTGTTTCTCTCCATTCTATAAGGAGAATTTTTGCCACTTTTAATTTTTTTTGGACAATCAGATGAATACTTCAGTTTTTACCAGTGCAATTCTCCTGGTTCATGCTACCTAGCTAGAAAACAAAGGATACCATGATTTTAAAAGAATCATAACTGCATGTAATTGACTGAAAGAAGAAAGGAAAGAGATATGAATTTGAGTAGGTTATAACACATGACCAATAATGGTAACATACAAGAATTAAGGTAAAATTTATTTTTAAATGGTTTTATAGTAATAAGAGTAAAAGATACCTTAGATAATTGTGACTTAAAATGAAATAAGCTAGTGACATAGCAAAAAAGGAAATAGTGACTGAAGTATAGCAAAGTATACCCAAAAATATTAAAAGAACCTGAGGAACACCTTAAGCATGTTAAAATTTCAAAGAAACTGGAATCAGTCAGTCAAGAATCACAGTACTGAGGAACAGCTAAGTGGCACAGTGGATAGAGCACCAGTCCCGCAGTTAGGAGGACCTGAGTTCAAATCCAGCCTTAGACACTTACTGGCTATATGACCCTAGGCACTTAACCCCAATATCCTCACACACACAAAAAAAGAATTATAATATTTAGAGAGTGCAAATGAATTTTTTTCGGTGTGAATACCTACCCTAATGAACTCATAGAATCCCAAAGTCATTTTGTGAAGTTATACTTTCTCTCCTTTGCCCTAAGTTTACTTCTAAGCCATTAAGGGGTACATTCTGATTCTAGGATTCTGGATCCAATGAACATATCTGAACTCCCCTTATATGTCCTGCTGCATTTTTGAAATGTCCATCATCTTCTCTCTCTTTCCTGTCTTTCCTCATAATGCAAACTTTCCTTGACTTACTTCAGTCATTCTTTTCATTGTTCCATTGCCATTATATCTGATTACCAAAACTATACACAATTCCAAGTACAAATTCACCAACATATGATATAACAGTAAGCTAATATTATCTTTTTGTTTCCTGTGCTCTTTTAATGATACCCTGCCTTACAGCCTTTACGAATACAGCAGGACTTTAAAGAGATGTCTTCAGTGAGTACTGTAAAGACTAATATGTCCTTCCTCTGGACTCATTTTAAATTTAGCACTTTTTTTTCTTTCTTCTGGCTCACCTTCACAGACTCACTAATATGCTAGACTGTTTCCAAGTTACCAAAACTGATGAGGCGAGATTAATCCTATTTTCAGATCTCCTAGAAAATCAGGCTGTTATTAAAGATGTTACTGCTGATAGTTTCTGTGATAAAATAAAGCACAAAACCCTTGTACCCCTGTCTTATCCCCAGTGTTATCTTGGTTCTTTATGCACCACCACTATCAATGAGGAAAAAAAGATTCTCCTACAAAGATGCTGCCACTGGCTTCACTGTTTTGTGTCCCCCATTTCTTTCCTTCAAAACTTTAAACTTGCAACAAAAGCCTGAAAGTAGAATTATGACAATATAGGCACTCCTGCAAAACATTATTCTTTATAAAATTCAACCAGAGAAGTGTGGTTAATGGAATTTAAGCATTCATAAACTTCATGCTGGACTTGTGTTACAGTTGAAAAGGAATATCTGGGAATAAACTGAAATAGCAAAAGATGGCATTGGCTGGGGCGGGGGCAGAATGGCTGGGAACCAGCTGAACTCTCCCAACATTCTTCTCCAAACAACTTTAAAATGATACCTCAGATGAAATTCTGGAGTGACAGAGCCAAGAAAAGGTAACAGGGAGACACTGTTCCAGCCTAAGACAACTTAGGAGGTCCACAGAAAATGTCGGCAACACTGGGGTGAGTGCAAGCCCAGACGGTGGCAAAAACACCAACAGTGGATGCTGGAGAACAGCAACAGCAGCAGCTCTGGGAGCTCTCAGCCCAGAGATGGTAAGGGGGTCAGACAACTGGTCAGAAAGAAATTAAAGGAGACCCTTTGCTGGTACTTGGGTGCAGTTGGCACTGATTGACAAGTCTATTGCCTATTAGCAGTCACAGTTAAAGGACCGAGAGGAGCATGTTATCAGTCACAGGGGAGCAAGGGACCTAGTCGTAGCTGGAAGGCCAAAAGGAGCAGTACTAGGCAGCTGCAGGGGACCAAGGGCCTTCCCTGGGTAAAGAACAGATCACAGACAAGGCGAGTGGTGACTACCCCTCTCCCAGGATAATACCATGTCAGAAGCATCAAAAACTTGCAGACTCCCCAAACTAGCTCTGAAAACAGTAGCACAAAAAATCCTGAAGCCTGGCACAGTACCTCTCCACGCCCAGTGAGCAGAGCCCAACTTTAACATAAAGTTCAAAGTGAAGAAACAGGCTGGGGAAATGAGCAAACAACAACAAAGAACTTGACCATAGAAAGCGAATACAGAGGCAGGGAAGACCAAAACATAAACCCAGGAGAAGACAACAATGTGAAAAAAGCTACAAGCAAAGCCTCAAAGAAAGAAAAAGGGTGTACTGAGTAAGTGCTAGTTAATTCTGTAAATTCAGAAGAGGCCAGAATAACTAAATGTATTAACAATCCTTATCTATATCATGATTTGTATCCTGGAATCTCCTTTTATGCTCTATAAACAGTGAAGACTAGCCATATATCATATATCAACATAATAAGCACAATAAACTACCAAAGACAGAGCAGAAGAAAATACTGCTGAAAGAAAGATACTGCTAGGAAAGTCCTAAGTGAAAGAAGTCCTTCCTCCAGTGCCTACAGGAGGCCTGACCTACTCTTGCCACTGGACTCAGATGACTCAGGAGGAGAGAGTGGGACTAATGACTTTGGACAGCTCTGCCTCACTTAAATCATATTCACTTGCAACTTAAGACATCACCAAGCTGATGTCATTGGCCCTCTTTGAGAATGAAAGAGGGACAAAAACAGCTGCAGGGTGGGTGAAGGAAGAGAACACAATGTGTATACCTGCACGCACATGCACACACACACACCCACACATACCCTAAAGCATGGTGCAGGGCACATGACTTTTAAAATGAACTGAAGTAAATATAAAATGAGTTCTACATGACCTTCAACAATTAACATATTAACAACTAGTTTAGAAATGAAACCAAATGCTATGTAATTATAATGACCACGCTTGGCCCAGAAAAAAAGATCAGAACATGTACCTTCCTTCCAGAGATAGAAACTATGGGCATAGTACAGTGCATATATTGTCAAACCTGGCTGATTTCAGAACTTAGCTGATATTTCTCCTCTTTTATTCTCTGTTACATGGGTTAGAATGGTATGTAGGAAAGGTGGAGAAGAATATATTTAGAAATTAAAGTTATGTCTAAAATTATTTTATGTTATGGTGGAGAAGAATATATTTAGAAATTACAGTTATGTCTAAAAACAGTATTAGTTTTAAAAAAAAGAACAATGAATTTACATGTGCAATCTTTGATATTTTGATAAGAAAAAGTTTTGATGAGTAGCTTTTGTATAAAATTTGCATGT